TTTCAAATGTAGAGAGGAAGGGCATATTGGTAGTCAGTGTCAGAAACCAAAGAGGGCTCAGACAAGTGGTAAAGTGTTTGCTTTGGTACGGGATCAGACAGCTGTCGAGGATGGACTTATCAGAGGTATATGTTTCATTAATAGTACTCCATTAATTACTATTATTGATATCGGTGCTACGCATTGTTTTATTGCTTCTGATTGTGTTGAAAGATTGGGTCTTATGTTGTCTTCTTTGAATGGAGAAATGATCGTAGATACTCCAGCCAAGGGGTCGGTGACTACTTCTTTCGTGTGTTTGAAGTGTCCATTGTCGATCTTCGACAGAGACTTTGTTGTTGATTTGGTTTGTTTACCGTTAAGAGGTTTGGATGTGATTTTGGGTATGAACTGGTTAGAGCATAACTATGTTCATATTAACTGTTATGACAAGTCTGTGAGGTTTTCTACTCCTGAAGAAGAGGAAGGTAGTCTGTTGTCTGCTAGACAGTTGAGGAAGTTGATGCAAGAGGAAGCACAGGTGTTCTCGTTGATGGCGTCGCTATCTGTAGAGACTCAAGCTATAATTGAGGAATTGTAGGTGGTGTGTGAATTTCCTGAAGTTTTCCCTGATGAGATTCCTGATGTACCGTCGGAGAGGGAAGTTGAGTTTGCGATTGATCTTATACTTGGTACCAGACCTGTGTCTATGGCACCATACAGGATGTCTGCATTTGAATTGTCAGAGTTGAAGAGGCAATTGGAAGAGTTACTTGAGAATAAGTTTGTAAGACCAAGTGTATCGTCGTGGGGAGCTCTAGTGTTGTTAGTAAAGAAGAAAGATGGAAGTACGAGGCTTTGTGTTGATTATAGGCAGTTGAATAAAGTGATTAAGAACAAGTATCCGCTTCCAAGAATAGATGACTTGATGGATCAATTGGTGGATGCTCGTGTGTTTAGCAAGATTGATTTGAGGTAGGGTTACCATCAGATCAAGGTGAAGGATGAAGATATCCAGAAGACGGCTTTCAGAATGCGTTATGGACATTATGAGTATCCGGTGATTCCTTTCGGTGTTACCAACGCGCCAGGAGTATTCATGGAATATATGAATCGTATCTTTCATACTTATTTGGATCGGTTTGTGGTGGTGTTCATTGATGATATTTTGATTTACTCTAAGTCAGAAGAAGAGCATGCAGAACACTTAAGAGTAGTATTGCAGGTTTTGAAAGAGAAGAAGTTGTATGCAAAGTTGTCCAAGTGTGAATTCTGGTTAAAAGAGGTTACTTTTATTGGTCATGTGATCTCAGGTAGTGGCATTATTGTAGATCCATCAAAGGTTGATGTTGTGCTGCAATGGGAAACTCTGAAATTAGCTACTGAGATTAGAAGCTTTTTGGGATTAGCTGGTTATTATAGAAGGTTTATCGAAGGTTTTTCTAAGTTAGCACTTCCGTTGACTAAGTTGACTTGTAAAGTTAGAGCTTTTGTGTGGGATGTTCAGTGTGAAGAAAGTTTTGCAGAGTTGAAGAAGAGATTGACGTCGGATTCGATTTTGACGTTGCCTAATCTAGGAGAGCCTTTTGTGGTGTATTGTGATGCTTTTAAGATGGGTTTAGGAGGTGTGCTTATGCAGAATGGTAAGGTAGTTGCTTATGCGTCAATCCAGTTGAGAACTCATGAGAAGAACTATCCTACGCATGATTTAGAGCATGCTGCAGTTGTTTTTGTGTTGAAGATTTGGAGGAATTATGTTTATGGTTCTAGATTTGAAGTGTTTAGTGACCATAAGAGCTTAAAGTATTTATTCGATCAGAAGGAGTTGAATATGAGGCAACGGAGATGGTTGGAATTGTTGAAGGATTATGATTTCAGTTTGAATTATCATCCAGGAAGGGCGAATGTGGCAGCTGATGCGTTGAGTCGAAAGACTTTACATATGTCAGCAATGATGGTTAAAGAGTTGGAATTAATTGAGAAATTCAGACATATGAGCTTAGTTTGCGAGGTTACTCTGCGAAGTGTTATATTAGGTATGTTAAAGATTAATAATGAATTTCTAAACAGTATCAGAGAAGCTCAGAAGTTGGATGTGAAACTGGTAGATTCGATGATTGGGATCGATCAGTCTAAGGATAATGATTTTAAGCTAGATGCGCAGGGTGTGTTGAGGTTTCGTAACCGAATTTGTATTCTTGATGATGCTGAAATGAAGAAAGTGATACTTGAGGAAAGTCATAGAAGTAAGTTGAGTATTCATCCAGGAGCTACAAAGATGTATCGAGATTTGAAAGGTTTGTTTTGGTGGCCTGGGATGAAGAGTAATATGGCTCGGTTCGTATATGCATGTTTAACTTGCCAAAAGTCGAAAGTTGAACATCAGAAGCCAGCAGGGTTGATGCAACCGTTAGAAGTTCCAGAATGGAAATGGGATAGAATTTCAATGGACTTTGTGACGGGGTTACCTAATACTTTAAGAGGACATGATTCGATTTAGGTGATTGTTGATAGGCTTACAAAGTCAGCTCATTTTATTCCTATTAACATCAGTTTTGTAGTGTCGAAGTTGGCTGAGATTTACACTAGTGTGATTTTGAAGCTGCATGGTGTTCCTTTGTGCATTGTGTCAGATAGAGATCCAAGATTACTTCTGATTTTGGAAGAGTTTGTAAGAAGCATTGGGTTCTAAGTTGAGGTTGAGTTCAGCATATCATCCTCAGACAGATGGTCAGACTGAACTGACTATTCAATCGTTGGAAGATTTGCTGAGGGCATGTGTTCTTGAACAGGGAGGTTCGTGGGATACCAATCTTTCGTTGATAGAGTTCACTTATAATAAGAGTTACCATTCTAGTATTGGGATGTCACCTTTTGAAGCGTTGTATGGTTGAAGATGTAGAACTCCGTTATGTTTGCATGAATCTGGTGAAAGTGTAGTACTTGGACCTGAACTTGTTCGTGAGACAACTGAGAAGGTGAAGTTGATTTGAGAAAAGATGAAAGCTTCCCAAAGTATACAGAAGAGTTATCATGACAAGTGAAGGAAATATTTAGAATTCCAAGCGGGTGACCACATGTTTTTGAGAGTTAAATCTGTGACTGGTGTTGGGCGAGCATTGAAGTCTAAGAAGCTCACTTCTCGTTTTATTGGACCATATCAGATTTCAGAGAGAGTGGGGAATTTTGCTTATAGAGTGGATTTACCGCCTAATCTTTCAAATTTGCATGATGTCTTTCATGTGTCGCAACCTTGGAAGTATATTTCAGATTCATCTCATGTGATTCATATGGACGATGTGCAAGTACGGAATAATCTTACTGTGGAGACGATGCCTGTACGGATCGCGGATCATGAAATAAAGACTCTGAGGGGCAAACAGATTTCCTTGGTTAAAGTGGTTTGGCTAGGAGCTGCCAGAGAAAGCATGACTTAGGAGTTGGAGAGCAAGATGCGGGACTCCTATACTGAGTTGTTTGATTTAAGTAAATTTTCGAGGATGAAAATATTCTAAGTGAGGGAGAGTTGTAACGCCCGTAATTTAATTAATCATTTAATTAAATTATTTTTGGAATATTTGTGAAGTTGTATTGTGATTAATTGGATTTAATTATTTTAGTAAGTGGTGAAATAATATTAGAAGTATAATATCATTTGATATGAGCTTGTTTTTAAGTATAGAAGTAGTAATGAGGGGGTGTATTAGTTTTGAGCCCATTAAGGAATAAAGGGAATAATAGGTTATTTTATTATTGTTAGAAAGAATAGAAAAGAGGAAGCAGTAGAAGAATAAGGGTTGAAAAGAAGAACATGAAGCTGCTGGAAAAAGAGGAAAAACGGCATAACAAGGATTCGACCGAAAGTTATAGAGCAACCTTCAATCCAAGGTAAGGGTGGGGTTCTGACTCTATAATTGAGTTCATGATAATTGGTATGTGGGGTTAGATGTGAAGGTGTTGTTCTGTTCATGATTGAATTATATGTTGATATATGATGAGAATTGATGATTGAAAGATGAATAATGACGTCCCGATGCTGTTTATTTGATGTAGAATTATAGGATAACTGTAAGTGATGATTATCCATGATTAGATTAAGTTTTTATGGCTTAAAGTATAGAACCCGTAGTGAAAACGCAGAGAAAATCCCATAAATTATGTAGGATTGAGCAGTATGCGTCGACCCCAAATGGTATGTGTCGATACAAGTAGGTCTTTAGACTCAGGATAAGTCGACACGAAGGAGTCTTGCGTCGATACATGAGGGCTTTTAGACTCAGGATGAGTCGATACATAGGAGCATGCATCAATACATGCTGTGTGGTAGACCCAAGATGAGTCGATACAAGAGAAGATGCGTCGACTCATGTTGCAAGTTCAGTGCAGTACGCGACAATTTTTATTTTGATCTATATAAGTCTAGTCAATCCAATGACTTAGTATTAAACATTTCTACCGCTACACCCACCTAAAGTAGGGACTCTCAGGCATGCATCTCTATTCATACTTCTCATGGCAAGGAAATAAGAAAAAAAACAATGCGGAAATGAGGAATGAAATAAAGTCACGATGATACCCAACGGAGAAGGTCTGTTGCCTCTTTAAAGCCACACAAGAAAATAGAAAACTCTACAGAAACTTCTTCTCACAAGTGATCAAACAAATTAATCTCCAAGCATTCCACATCACAAAAGTTGCATCAATACTATCACAAAAATTTTGGCTAAAAATAGCAACAAAAATGATTACCAAACACGAGAAAATAATAGAAAATTCTAATTAAAATTTCTAAAGAGAAATCCTAAAGATTATAACTACATGTTTTTTATATCATTTGATCAAGAAACTAAAATTTATGAGAATTAACAACACAAAAAAAACTATGTAAAATATTATCAAAAATAGTGTAAAAGCAGTGGGGTGTATTACTGAAATCAGGGAGTACTGCTTCAACAAAACTCTAGGACGTTAGGCCCATCATATTGGTCCATAACCCATTTTTGGTTCTTCACCATTCCATTATGTCAAATAGACCAACCAATGGGCTAAAGAAAAGGTGTTAGCAACAATTGGATCCAAGAGCCCAGCGAATTCTGATTAAGTTCAAGCACACTTCCACATATCTTACAAATTTTTATATTGAGTAAATTCATTGTCAACAAATATTATAAAAAAAAAAAGAAGAAATTATTTAAAAACAAAACGAAGAAAAAGAAAAATTGGTGTAATTAGGGTTCAATAGAGAAAGGGACGATTAAGCTTCCCAAACTCTCCTTCTCCTCTTCTCAAATGAGCGGCGCCGGTCCTCCTCTCCAATCCATCGTCGTCGATTCTCAATCCTCTATCTCAAATCAAACACCTCATCCTTATCTCTGATTCGGTCCCTCTTCGTCAACGAATGATTCGCCTCATCTTCGTCTCAAACAATTCTCCGATGTTACCTTCACTCGAACACCACCGTCGAAGCTTTTACGTCTGTTCTGCTCCAGATTTCGTCACCATGACTCTCAACCTCTGATCAACAAACTCGACGTTCCTCCGCCGTTGATCTTTTGTTCGCCATCTCTTCTTCTCTCTCGCTCAGTAAAGATGCGTTCAACAGGATCTTAAATTCGAAAAATGAAATCAAAACGAAGCCTAATCCATGGTTTCGAATCTTCAAGTGGCAAGAAGATGCATCAATGGTGAAGAGCAGTCGAAGAAAAATGACTTACCTACCAGAAGTGTACTCCGATAGTTCTTCAGATCTATCCAGATAGTGAGAAAACTAGAGGATTTCAGGTATTTCGTCCTTACTCTTCTTCTCGTTCTCTTTCTGCGATTTCACGAGGTTGTGTATTGAATTCACGTGTTGTTGTTTACGGATTGTTTCTTGTAATGTTTTTGCAGAATTGATGATGGATGTGCTGCGATGACTGTGTGATGAAGAGGATCATAGATTGAAGAAATCGTGAAGAATGAAGTAGAAAGTTGAAGGTGTATGAAGATGAAGATAAAGTCGTGTGATGAAGATTTGAGAAGGAGAGAGTTTTCTGGAATTTTCTGTGGAGTTTTCTGGTGATTCTCCAAGTGGTGAAGAATGAAATCTTATTTAGGTGAGTTTCTGTTTATATATTTTGTTGAAATCTGGAAAATTTTGTTACGTGAGATTCCATCTGAACCTTAGATCATGGAAGTTGGTTAAAGATTTGGATGGATGAGATTGCATCTGTTTCAGTTAGTTTTGCTTGAAATTTCTGTTATTGAGTTGTTAGAATGAGCTGGCAAATTCGGTTAGTTAGAGGTGAATGGAAATTCTATTTTTGAAGTTTATGTTAGGTTCAGTTAGCTTTACAAATTAGTAATTCACGTTTAAAATGTATTTCTGATTTTCTGGTATCATGAATGTGGCACGGTTGTGATGAATGAGTTAGCTGTGAACTGGTTAACTTGGTTTAGTGTTAAACTGTTTGTGAAATTGGCTTTCTGAACCGGTTTTGCTTCAAGATTTTGTAGGGGTTGTTTATGTAAATCACAATAGGGCACAAGTTTGTGTAAATTGCAGCATCAATTTTCTTTTGTGTAACTGATTTTTGACTGGCCTTTTTTGCATTGGTTTTCCTTGGCTGGCCTTTTTTGCATTGGTTTTCCTTGGACATGTTTGGTTAAAGGTTGAATAGGAGCAGGGCATATTTGAGTTATGAAGAATCATAAAGACCATATTGAAAAATAGTGAAGATGGAGTAGCTTGGAGAATTGGAGTGAAGCTTGGCAAGGGATGGACTTGAAGAAAGAATGAATGATGTTTAGGATTTCTAAGGGTAGCTTGACTTTGGGTCCCAAAATGGGAGTTTTATAATTTCTTTTGAAATCTCTTTTTGTGTTATAATAGCTTCTCTTCGTACATCCAAACTTGAATTGTATCTGTTCCTCTTTTGAATCAACATTCCCATGATGTAATTCGAATTCAAAGGCTTGGACTTGTTATTTTTCTTGTAGTGTGACTTCGAAAGTTAAATAATATCTCCAAATGTTCAAAGCATTTTTCTCTTTCAACTTGAAGTTTCGAACTTCTTTGACTAATGCCCATTGGTCTTGAATGACGGATATTGCATTCCAATCTCCTTTAACAACTAATCTTCCTCGAGTTTATATTCATGTAATTCAAAATTGTACTAAGGCTTTCTCCATATTGCATATTATAATGAAACATATCACAAGGTAGAAGTACTTAATCAATTTGAGCGGATGAATCTTGGTTCTAAGTAAATGACTGAGCATTATCAAGTGATGGATGAGAGACCAATATAAGCCCTAGCTTGCAATATATATCACATCTTGCACATGTATTGTACCTTAGGCAGTGATAGAATCTTTTGAATGATGGTATCTACTAATGAACTCAAGACTTCACAACGAGCTCCTCTTGAATAACACATGATTCGAGAAATAAACCCTAATCAAGTGATGATGGTGAACATAAGAAGATGATGTTTTTATAATCTCCATGCCCTAGCTCATGGTCTCTTGGATGACACTTTATATGATGCCTTGCATTAGTAGCAACCATGAAGAGACTTTACATAATGAAGAAGACCAAAATGTTGAGAATAAGGAGATCATGATGTATGGTTAAGTCCTTGAAAATCATTTGATAACCTTGTATAAGGGATAAACCCTAATCTATGATCCTTGCATCTTCAATTGAAACAAACGTGCAAAAGAGATAAATCTCTGATGAACTATGTGAAACCCTAATCCCATGAGCATTGATCCAAGTACCAAGCTTTATTGTTAGTGAATGTGTGCAATGTTAGATGACCTAATGAAGTATGTACATGAAGAATGCGAGATACGTAAACCAGATGATCTTTATAAAGGGGTAGGAAAATTTTGGAATATGACAGAAGGGGAGTTGGGTTTCTGCAAAAACAATGAAAATATAATTTTTTAATCTGATTAAAATAAAAAATAATTAATATTTTATCCACGTGGACTGTCACATCAGACTTCGTTTGTCTCACTTAACGTCAAGGAGTATTAAAGTTTCAAAAATACAAAATAATCTAATAATTTCCAAAAACCTTCTACATCTTTCAAATATTTGTGGCATATCATAAGGTTTCAAAAATGCATAATATTCTAATAAATTTCCAAAATGTTCTAACATCTTTCGAATAAAAAAACTTGTTTGTCATTTCAAATATTTTGCTTGATAGAAGATGAGAAAATGGAAACAACAATTTCATAAATTTTAAAATGTGTAACTGAAAAATATTTTAACATATTTTACTTAATGGTAAAATTCATATTTTAAATTATTATTTGTTAAGAGATTTTGTGTATGACTGCTCAATTTGAAAAACAAAAATTTACCACAAAAATTAAATATCATTAAATGTGTTTGTATATTATTTTGTAAAAGTGATTTGGTTCGAATCGAATTTCGAATTAATTTTTTAAAATTAATCCAAAACAAATCCAACTACATGTATATATTGTTATGCATATTTATTTTTTTATTATATATTGTGTTAGTTTATTATTCGATGATACTTAATTTTTTTAATACGATTTATTAATTTGATTTAATAATATAGATGTTATAAAATATAAGTACTTACAATTAAAAATTATTTGACATAAAATTATAGAGATTAACTTACTTCGTTGAACCACAAATGACGAGCAACATGACCCTGATATCTCATTAGAAGAATAGTATCCTAAAAAGTCTTCTGGAGAACTCTGATTGATACGGACCAGCCTCAGGTGCAACCCTCTAATTTCCCTCTCCATCTTCCACCGCTTGTCGATGTTGTGCAGCTTCCGCCCTTCGACACATATTGTTGTCTGATATGCCTCAACTTCTGCACACCAGTAAAAAAAGAATAACAAAAAGAGAACCAAATAACATATGATCAATTTATCTGAAACACAAAGAACAAGAATCGAAGAACACTGGCAGAAGTTATCTGGTTTGAGTGTTTGTAACAATAAAACCTTTTTCTAATTTATCCAGCTGATAAATTTGATCGAATTCAAACCAGATAACTTGCTTGTAAGTTATTCGTTGTGTTGGACTTCTGAACCAGAACTCTTCTCTCTTTGTTCTCCGATTTGAACTTTGGATGGTTCGGAAAAGATGTTGTTGTGTTCTCTGAATTTTTACTCTCACAGTGCAGGAAAATAAAATGAAAAAAAGTGGAAAAAAATTATCGTCTAAGTATTTATATAGGGCCATTTTAGTCCAACCTCATAATTTGTTAGAATAGAGGGGATAATTAATGAGGTGTGAGATAAAATTTAAGGGAGCGTGGAGTGGATATAATAGCTCAATTGGTATGCATTAATTGAACTGAATGAGTGTAATCTTATTTTATCTATGTGTTAATGGAAATAAAATATTTATAATTATAAATTAAAAGTAAAATTAAAACATACAATTTGGAGAAAAAATATCGTATTTAAAAAAACAAATTCATAACATATTTGTCAAAAAGCACTACCAAGCTGTAAAATGTATGGTGGTCTGTCATTCATTCAATACCAGCAATATTTTCGATGCGGTTTTGACCGTTTTTACATAAAAAAATCATTCGAATCCCAAAAGAAAAAGTATACAATTCAATTGGCTTTTAAAAATAAAATTGAATCAAATCAAGTCAAATTAATACAATTTGGGTTGGTTCGATTTTTTAAATATATATATATATATATATATATATATATATATATATATATATATATATATATATATATATATATATATATATATATATATATATATATATATATATATATATATATATATATATATATATATATATATATATATATATATATATATATATAACATAGATTTGTATTTAGTCATTTATGCGTTATCAAATAACAACAAAATTCATCAATTTAAGACAACAATTTTTCATTTAATATACAAAAATAAAATTAGAGGAAATTAAATAAAAAATTAAAATAGTAGCATAAAACAATAACAAAAATATTATAATGAAACAAAAAAATAGAGAAGATGAAAGATTCGAGAAAATGAAAGATTCGAGAAGATAAAAAAGATGGAGTTTAAGAGAGGAGAAGTTAGAGAAGAAGAGGTGCATTAAAAACATAATTGAAAGATGTAGAGTAAAAAGATGAAAAGGAAATAACACAAGAGATGAGAGACTAGAGAAGAAGATTCAAGATTTACATGGAAAAAAAATTAGAATAATGCGTGATACCGCAAGGAGAGATTTGAGAAAACTTAAACTAAAATCTTAAAAATATGAGGAAGAGAAAGTCATTTGTAATCGTAACGCTATGATATAATAGGTTTAGGTTGGATGTGAGTTAAGTGAAGTTTGGGTTGGAACATAATGCGATGTGATTCAGTTTAGTTCAATTTATAAAATACAAACCGGAAATCGAACCGAACCACACATTTTTATTAAAAAATAGCTCAAACACATCCAAATTAAATACGATTTTTTTTATAATTTTAATTTGATTTGATTCGATTAATAATTTTCTATTAAACTGGTTCAACTTTGAACACCCCTAATAAACAAATTCATCCTCCAAACACGTCTATCACCATCTAAATAGATAAATAACTACTTGCACAATGCATCTCACTTTATACTGGCAATTTGTTCCACTTTTATATAAAGAAAAAGACATTTTATTTCAAATATCAAAATCCATTATCACTCTATCATTACTTTTCATTCTTAAAATAATTTGAATGTTTGAATGCAAACCTTATAACATTCTTACCACCTCGTCGGAAGAACAATTTCATTGTAACAAAGTACTATCATTATCTCATCATTTCACCAATTATTTTCGATCCTAAACGGAACAAAATTTAAAAAAATCATAAAAATTATTTTAAAAAATTAAAATTACGTTTTTTAAAGCAGTAACAAACGTGATGTTTATCTCAAGAAAAACTGTTCCAAATACATCAATAGTGTTGGAAATCCACCAAATTCTATGATAAATTTCTACCACAATGACAATTTAATTATGAGACAAACAAAGAAAATAAGACAAGACAAATATTTCTGCAGAGTTTCTCTCTGTCCATAAACTGTGGAAAACTTTCTTAATCACTTGCAACTGCAAATTCTGTGATTACAATGAATTGACTTACTTGACTTTTTTGAAAAATAGGGGTTACTCCCTCTATTTATAACTGAGCTTACACCCTAAGCCCAAAGCCCAAAATATTTTTTTGTTACTAAATCAAATCAAATCAAATCTATTCTGGACTTAAATCAAATCTATTTAAATCTAAAATAAATCAAATCTTCTTTGACACTATGAATTACAATTTAACACACCACCTAATTCATTGTGTCTAAACTGTTTATGTTCATCATGGCTCTTAGCTTTCTGAATACTTCGACTTGCACTCCCTTCGTCATGATGTCTGCAATCTGATTCTCAGTTCTGCAGTGTTCCAAATTCATCTTCCCATCTGCTACCTGCTCTCGAAGATAATGGAATCTCATTTTGATGTGCTTACTTCGACCATGTGCTATTGGGTTCTTTGCCAGATTAATAGCTGACATGCTGTCTATCTTCATGGTAATTGCTCCATGATTTTTCCCTGTTATCTCTTCGACCAAATTCACCATCCAAGTTGCTTGACATGCACAAAGAGAAGCAGCTATGTATTCTGCTTCACATGATGATAATTCCACTACTGGTTCCTTTCTTGAATTCCAAGCAATTGGTGCACCACCTAGCATAAACACATATCCTGCTGTTGACTTTCGATCTTCAGCATCACTACACCAACTCGAATCAGTGTATCCCACTAACTTGCATTCTTTTCCTTTATCAACTGCAAGAAACAAAATGCCATAATCGAAAGTTCCTTTGAGATACCTTAGTATCCTCTTCACTACTGCTAGATGTGATACCTTTGGCTTCTGCATAAATCTACTTACCATACCTACACTGTATGCTAAGTCAGGCCTTGTATGACAAAGCTATCTTAATGATCCAATAAGTCTTCTGTATTGGGTTGGATCAACATCATCTTCATCTGCATCTTTTGACAGTTGCAGTCTTGGTTCTGCAGGTGTCGAAGTTGAGTTGCATTCTTCCATCTCAAACCTCTTGAGAATTTCTCCTGCATATCTTCTTTGATGCATCATCAAACCTCTACTGCTCTTGTAGAATTCGATACCAAGGAAATATGAAATCTCACCCAAATCAGACATTTCGAATTCCTTGCTGAGATCACCTTTGAAGTCTTCGATCTCACTTTTACAGCTACCTGTTATCAACAAATCATCTACATAGAGACATAGTGTTAGAACATAGTTTGATTCTATAACCCTCAATTAGAGTTTTGATGATAACAAAATACAAGAATAAATAAATTGTAAGATTTATATATAAGACATATATGCTACTTAAAATTATGTTTTGTGTTTACAGAAGTTCTGATGGAATCAGCATCAGAAGATCATATCAGCATCAGAAGATCAGTAATATGTCAGCATCAGAAGATCAATAACATGTGCTACACGTTGAAGTTACCAGATCATACGCTGAAGCCTGATGAATAGAATCTGCGAATAAAATACTCTGACTCTGATCAAGATCCTTACCAAGTCATCAGCACTTAGAAGCGTCAACATCAGTTAAAGCAAAAGAACACTCTGATTACCATAAGCAGAGAACACTCTGAAGCGTTACTAAGCATTCAAGACAGATTAATTACCAACGGCTTTATTCAAAGACAAGATCTTTTCAAAAAGGAAAGAACGTTATTATCATTGAAATGGATTTATGGACAACAACGCACCTTTGCCTTGGCTATATAAACAAGTCAGTGTGAGAAATGAAAAGGCTAATAATCTTCACGCACGCACTCATACATTTTGCTAAGCCTTCAAGCCACGCCTACGTAAAAGCATCAGCAATTCAGTTTTCATTATAAGCTTAAATTTGTGTATTATCACAGTTGTGATATATAGTTTTGTTAGAAAACATTAAACACATTCTTGTTCATTCTTTGTAAGAGATTTCCTTGAGATAAATCGGTCTGTGGTTATACTCAAGAAGGCTTTAACAATTGTTAAAGTAGACTGTTGTAATCCTATTGAATATAGTGGATTTAGACCTCGTTGGAGAGAGGCGAAATCACCTTGACGGGTGGACTGGAGTAGTTTGAGATCAAACGAACCAGGATAAAAATACAGTGTTGTTTAAGCTTTTGATTTAAGTTTTACAATTCAACCCCCCTTCTTGTGTTTTTCACATCTTCAATTGGCATCAGAGCGCCTGGTTCCAAGCTTATAACACTTATCCGTGTCAGTACAAGATCCAGCGTCAGAAAAACACAATGGCAGGACCACATCAAAACATCAACAATGACAACAATGAAGAAAGAGACAGATTCAGTGGCAAACCTTCAGTCTTTGATGGAGAGAACTTTGACTACTGGAAAGACAGAATTGAAAGCTTCTTTCTGGCCCATGATACTGATCTGTGGGACATGGTGACTGATGGATACACGCACCCAGTAGATGGAAGTTGTCAGAAGATTGATAGGAAAACAATGTCTGATCAGCAAAAGCGTGATTTCAGAAATCATCACAAGGCCAGAACAATTCTTCTCAGCGCCATCTCTTATTCAGAATATGAAAAGATATCAAACAGAGACACTGCAAAGAATATGTTTGACTCTATGAGAATGACGCATGAAGGCAACATTCAAGTCAAAGAAACCAAAGCTCTTGCGCTCATTCAGAAGTATGAGGCATTCAAGATGGAAGAGAGTGAATCAATAGAAACTATGTTTTCAAGATTTCAAATTCTTGTTGCTGGTCTCAAAGTTCTTGACAAAGGGTATTCTACTGCTGATCACGTTAAGAAGATCATCAGAAGCTTGCCAAAATAATGGAGGCCAATGGTCACACCGCTTAAGCTAGCCAAGGATCTCAACAAAATCTCTCTGGAGGAACTTGTCAGCTCCCTCGGAAGTCACGAGATAGAGCTAGAAGCAGATGAACCTCAAAAGCAAGGTAAGCCATTAGCTTTAAAATCTAACAGAAAATATGACTCCAAAGTTTTGCAGGCTGTAGAAGAAACCTCTGATGGATCCTCATTAGAAGAAGATGAATTGTCTCTCCTCTCCAGAAGGGTGAACCAATTATGGAAGCAGAGGCAAAGGAAGTTCAGGAATCCCAAAAGATCAGAAAATCAAAATGAATCTTTCTCCAGATA